ATGTCGTGTTTTTGTTCAAGGGGAAAATTAATATTAAATTTCATTTGAAGTCAAGTCAGAATTACGAGTACCTACGGGGTGTCAATTTTAAAACTTGCAGTCGGCCATATTTTCCAAAGTAAAGAAGGTATTTAAAATTGCGCAAAACCGTTTCGGGGATATCGAGGGGCAACCAGAATGACGTTATGAGTAACAACACCCCCCCCTTAACCCACCAGCCCCCCCCCTCTTCAAAAATCCTAAATGGTATAACCCTATACTTGTGACACATCCTTGGAAAGCTACTGAAAAATGCTTTCCAGTGGTACCAATAAAGTCGATATTCATTAAGACAATTTAACAACAAAAATGTAATAATTAACAAAAAAAACTAAATGTTGTCATTGAGGGATTTATGGCAAATTGGCCAAGAACTTCAACCTGAACTGTTTCATTAAGCAATCTTGGTTGCTTTCTTTTTTATTGAGTTACAGTACCTACAGCTGAACGTGTGGAAATAATATTCATTTATGCGGCTCCGAAAATCGATCATCTTTTAGAACAGCTAGAACGTTATAGTCATTCCGGGAGAAATAAATGTAAGCCATGCCTATGATCAAGATTTGGTCGCTAAATTCCAAGAAACGGGTGTCACCCTGTATATCTAAAATGCTGAGTAAGAAAGAGTTGGCCCGTTTTCATATTCTTATTAGCCTTGAAGGTTGAAGTTACTCTTTGGTTGAAGCTTGATTTCCTATTTTTAGGTTGTACTACATTTTTACCACCAAAATTGCAGTCATTTAATGTTAATATTCAATTTCAAATATTCAACGATTATATCCCATTATATCCCTGGTTGGTCTCTAAACTCAAAAATTTTAACTTGGAAGCCCTACTCCCTGTGTTAAGAGGCCGTCGTACGCGCATGAAATATAGTTACGCATTTTGGTTCAGCTCTTAGCAATTTTTGCAAAAACAGTGTTAGTTAGTAACATCATCACAGTCACGTTGGATTCTAAAACTTTTTTCTATAGGTACTTTCTCTTGTAACAGATTTTTGATATTTTGTAAATATTAATAACTACGGCACCCGAAAATACCATAAATATCAAGTACTTACTTACTTCTACAATTATTTATGCAAAATTGGATTAAATCAAAAATCTGTTACAATAGAGGCATAGATGTGTCCTTTATCTTTACTGTGGTACCTAACAATACAATTTACTCAAAATTTTATACTAAATCCCACACCTCTACACGCTATTCGATTCATATAATTTCTATTGAAGCGCTTCCCTAGTCGTATGCAGAGAACGTCCTAAGACCATTGAGTACTAATCATTCACTCAACGCTAAAACGGGAAACAATTTTGTAAAATCATGGTTTTATTTTTTGAAGCATCTCAGTCCATGTGTGATTGTGTGTTGCAATATTTTTGATTTCCATCGCTACACCGCATTTTTTTACTATCTATGTGTCGAAAAAACAGGACAATTTTGTGGTTTTCCGGAACAACGGAACATACAGCGCGTTGCATCGACAGGCGGGACATATGAAATTCCATGGAAATTTAAAGCAGGTTAATTATTGGCTTCCCTAATTATTTTGGAGGAAAATCTATTTAGGGTATTTGAATAGCATTAAAATCCGCATTTTTTTGATAATTCTATCAACTATTGATTTTGTGGGTATCGGTCTGTTCAGGTACCTACCTACTGAGCAGCAAACATGTCTGATATCTGTCGATAACTATTTCCTTGATAATACTATTTTTAATCATCAATACTTTCTCTTCAGTCGTGTAATTCATGGCTAATAATAGAAATAAAGCATTAAATTTCAGTATGACAACTTCATTTGCCATTCCGAATATTGTCGTTTTGGCTTCCGTATGTTTATTCTCGTTCGTGTGTGATGTATTCAACTGAAGGAAACGTTGATATTGTCAATTGGTATAGTGCTCGTAACAGTTTAAGAAGCCTAAGAGATTTATTTTCTGTGAAGCCAAAGCAACAATGTTCATATTAATGACAGCCAGAACTTGATTTGTTTTAAAAAGTTATTTTGGATGCATAAAATTAGACGCCCTTCAGTAGGATTTTGTCATTTTAAAGTAGACATAGGGAAAAATATACCTACGTAAATCCCTATGTCTACTTCTTAATAAATAACACTGTCCCTATATAAAAATGAAATTCCGAAATTTATGTACGAGCATCACTTCTGAACGATTGCATCAAATTAGATAGTTTTTTTGTTGTACGTCTCGGTGCTATGGCCGTTATCGAAACATGTGAAGCTCCAAGGCAAGCAAATAGGAAACCCTTTTTCTAAAAATGAAAGCAAAGAAATGCACGCAAAAAATGCAAACGTTACTAATTAATTAAGAAATCTTTGTCTTTCCCAAATTCATTTTTATTCTTGTTGTTGGCTTATACCGGGTGGTGCCTAGCGCGACGCAGCATAGGGATTTCAATGGTAATTTCTTTATAGTCAATTACTAGCTCCCCTAATTATTTTAGAGCAAAAGTCTAAATACGTTTTTTTAGAGAAAAAAATACTGCATCTGTTCATACTATTACTTATAATTTTCCGTTTTTCAAAACCGTAGAAATCGACAAAATAAAAAGGTTCATTTTACAATAAATCAAATATGCCTTGGAATTACCTAAAAAAACAGCGATCACGTTTCATTATTTGCCTTTGACGTATATTAAATTTATACTTGTTTATAAATTAGTTAAAGAACTGCAAGTGCAATAACGTTCAAAATTTGCGTCAAAACCATCAGGAAACGACAATACATTCAACGTTTTGGCTGCAGTAGCGGAAAATCCAAATATAAGTTTAGGAACAAATCTTCTTCAAATCAGTTTTTTTTCTTCGATTATGTAGGTACTCTGATCCCGAAAAATGATAAACAAATAGTATCTCATGCAGCGCAGATGCAGTGTACATTCTCTAAAAAACATTACCCTAAGATGCCTTTTATTGCGTCGGTTAGTTGAAACAGAATTAAATATGAAAATCGTTGGACGTCAAACAACGATAACTTAGATGCGATGCGCTTGTAGTTTGTTGAAAGATTCCACAGCATCACTGATTTGTTAAAATCTAATTTTTTATTTTGCCGATTTCTACGGTTTTGAAAAATGGAAAATTATAACCAAAAGTATGAACAGATGCAGTATTTTTTTCTCTGAAAAAAACGTATTTAGACTTTTGCTCTAAAATAATTATGGGAGCTAATATAATTGGCTATAAAGAAATTACCATTGAAATCCCTATGCTGCGTTGCGCCAGGCACCACCCTGTATATGTTTCGGTCATATAACTTTAATGGCCATTATCAAAAAATCAAAATCAAAAAATCGCTGCTTAACAAGTTACCATAGGAACGTTGCGTTGATACGACAAACCCTATGCTATCGTAACTAAAATAATTTGGAAACTGTCATTGCTAGTGTCATAATTTTGGCGATGGGTGACAAAGGTGTATTTGATATTGATAAAAAGCAGCCAAACTAGGTAAAGAATTAATACCACCGAAATCCAAAAAACTATATCAGCAGCAGTACGATGCGTTTAAGAAGTGGTGCCACATTCAAAATGTGGAATAACCTACTGAAATTACCTTGTTAGTAATTTCATCCTTCCGGGATTTTCGTCCAAATTTAATCCCGGTGGGACAAAAAGTGACACTTCAGTACTTGTCATAATGGAGTGAAGTTGTCACTTTAGTCTCGGAAGTACGAAAAATATATTTGGGAAAGACAAAGATTTCTTAATTATCAAATATAAAAATATGGATCATCCACTTCATTACTAATTAATTTATGAAAATAATCGATATAAAATATAAATTCGTAACTACCTACTTACCCTGCTTTAATCTTCAAATTCTATTTATCAAACAGGCAAGGTTTGCCGCGATTAATTCCAACCTGTATCCCTTTGAGAATCTGAGGCCGACCCTATGTTAAACCATAAAGGGATTAAATTTACCACATTTTAGGGAAATAATTTAAGATTTACTGTAATAACTTACTATTAGTATAGGTACGACGAGGTACCCGTTCGTGACCTCTTCCTCTCGCCTGGGGACGGATGGAAGCTGTGCAGAAAGGAATCGGGAAGTACTTTACGATTACGAAGTCGCTGATATACGTAAACATCTAGGTAGATTTTAACAAGTTGCGAATCTATTTGTCAGTGAGTTCCTGCATAATTTAACGATCAATTGAACTTATACCTGTGAAAATTGATCGTGATTATATGAGTTGTCCAATCCAAATAATTATTGTTTACTATAATGTAGATGTTTAGAGCTCTAAAGGCCACCCCAAAGCGGGTGGGCATAGGCTCATTCCTCATTGGCCCTACCTAACCGGCAACTGTGGTATTGATCCACAACCCGCAAAAAGAAAAAACACAAATATAATTTCTAAGTTGTTACAAAAACTGAAGCTTCCCCACGCTATTAGGAAACAAACAAACATATATCCCAAAAAGAAAATCATGTCAGGGTGGAGAATCGGCTTGTTGTAGAACGTATCCCAACATTTAAATGTGTTAGGGCTCTTCTGATGAGCAAAAATCTTTGTTTGATGCAAGAAACATTCCCAACATCAATTTTTTGCAGATTGTTGCTATCAGCTTTCGTATATCCACTTTCCATTCTTACTTGGGTTAAAAAACTAAACTTTAGGATAATACGTTCTGGTGGTCTAGTAGTACAATTATTATTGGTGATAGCACGACTTTCTGAAAATTGAACGAGTGCATATAAGTGCTTATAAGTCAATGAGAGAATTTAGTGTCACCTTTATGCACGATGAAAAATACCTATAGGTACAAATGTGTTTTTTGTTTTTATTTTGTTACAAATATATAGTACAATAATACAATATATACAATGTTATAAAATACGTTTATTTACACATATACACTACCATCACCAATTAATAATACCTATACTACAATAATAATAACTAAAACTACCCACCACCAATTTTTACAATATGTGCGTATTTACAATAAAGAATTAAATAAAGTTAATCCCGCCATATTAAGGTGAATTCCGTCCCTGTAACAAAAAAATTGCATTTAAAACAAATGATTTAATACAATCCTGGTGTACTTACTCTTCGAAGTACTGCTCTTGGTCTCCCACCACCACAGCAATATCGATGAGTCTTATGTGAACTGCAAAGCAAAAATGAAATAAATACACAAAAATATCAATCATATTCATTAACTTACCATTTTTATTCGCCACACTCCTTAAAAACTCGTTAAATTGGACAGCAACGTCTTGCTGCAGTGGAGGGAGTTTTATAGTGGGGTAAGTGCACAGATTGACTCGAATCTTGCACCTTTTCAAATCTTGCAACAGCCGGTGCATCCCTACGCGAATGCTGCGGATTTTTGCATTCTGTAATCAAAAAGAACCCCGTTTATAAATGTTTATATACAACAGCAGATATGTACTTACCCTGCGTATATCATTTCCGCCAATCAAAACGATCACCTCTCGGCCCAGCTGGTACCTATACTCCTCGCCCTGCCGCAGGCTTCGAAGGACTCTCTTCCGGAGCTGGCCAATCGTTTGACCACCTATGGCCAACTCGACAAAAACCCTTCTGCGGTTGGAACTTACAGAAGTATAGGTCGAGGCTCTTCGGCCCAACTGGGCAGTGGCCAGTCTCCTGAGGTTAGAATCTCCCAACAAGGTCACTTCGTTCTGAAACAAAATAAACCATGAGTTAGATATAAAACAGGGGGTTATTATAGTGTGTGGTAAATTACACAAGACGTAAAAACAACATATTAAGAACATGACATAATAGTACTAACATTATTAATGACAAGCATCGTTCGTTCCTCCAGGCTCCAATTCCACACAATTTACAATTTTATAGGTAGGTACGTACCGGTCAGACTATGAAGAACTGAATGAATTAAAGTAATTTAGGCCGCCTATTTATACCAAATACTAACAATAAACGTGATTACGATTTGGAAGCTATTAATTACTGCACAATTAGTGAAAGTGAAAAGGTCTTTAATTTCATTGCTGGAGATTACGATGTTTTTTGTGACATGCTCCTCTGCATTTAGGGCCATTAACACCTCCCCGACATAGACTATCATATTTTATTTGTTTTTCTAAGAGGCATTAGGTACCTTATAAAAAGTTGCTATCAATAGAGTTGATGTCCTTTGCAGTAATTGCAATGATGAAAACAACATCTGTAGGTAGGTACTTGAAAAAAGTTAGATTATCGGTGTTAGTTTTATAATTATATACCCTTTTCTCTTTTACTATCATTTTTTTTTCAATGATTTGTGCGTTTTTTCGAAATTTTTTGGAAATACACTCATTTAGATAATAAATCCCTTTTTAACCATGAGTAACTGTTCTTTGTTTATACCTAATACTGTTTGCAGTTATAAAAAATGCGATGGCTTCATTTCTTTAACTGAAAAACCATTTTTCTTGTTCAGCAATGGATTTCGTACAGAAAACTATGAGTTTTCAATTATGTACCTACATCCCGATACCTAAAACGAACAAATTTTGTAGAAACGGAAGAGCTCGGCGAATTTGTGCAGCTATTGTAGATACTACCCTCAATTTTCTGTGTTCAATCCATTGTCGAACAGAAAAAAGGGGGTTCATTCAAAAAATTAAGGTTTCTCAATTAAACATCTGCAAAAATTACCGTGAACTCCAGAGCACACGGTATACATTTGGTAACAATTGCAATTGTTACATATTATCTAAGTAAAGTCTTATTGACTTAAACCCTGAAAAAATGTCTTATTTGCTTTATAAAAGGAAATTTATAAGTGGCAATTTTGCGTAAATTGAGGAAGTGAGAAAAAATTAGGGCATCCATGCGAGTCAAACCTCGTATACATTTGAAAATATTTTAGTCAAAACGGGCTTATTGAGTACAGATAATACATGCATAAATTTTTGTGGCATCATGCTTATAATGCCTTGCCGTTTATGGATACATAGATGCTGTATCCAATCAGTAGTACATTGGATGTTTATAGATATGAATGTACTTGGTTATTAAAAACCTAAGGGCAATAATGAGAAAAACAGTAAAGGGTTGTCACCATATCGCACATCTAGTTCAATAGTGCCGCAAGTGCCAACACAACAATGTTAGAGTACGTGCAAATAAAGTTAGTGCTGTTTAGATATCCAACCATAACAATTGCATATTACTATCGATTTTTGTGCGCCTTGTCATACATTGATTATTTAATGTGATACTTTGATTTTAATTTATACCATTATCAATGGATTAATTAAAAGTATAATTTTGTTAGTTGTGGCCATATTGCGTCCACCACTTTTGAACCACCCGTGCATAAAACCAAATAGTTTTCTAGTAGTTGTGGCGTTATTGCAGTAAATTACTAACTGAAATATTTTTTTTATTCAAAAGTAAAAAATATATAAAAGTATATAAAAGCACGTTCATTATACTCTAAAAAAGTTAAACGATTACTTTTCACCAATTATGTTATTATAGAACCCATGGTACACTTTTTTAATAGCATTTTTTGCACATAAATAAGCAAGATGTTCTTTAGTTTTTTGAGATATCGATGGGGCTTTTACAAAGGCCTTTTCGGGATAACATGCGCTAATGTCAATGCAACGCCTTAGTTTTTCCTGGATGTTAATTTGTTCATATTCAAGGAAGTCAAAGTCAGTTTTATAAAAAAACGACGTTGGATAATTTTTTTCTACGCGTAGAACTTGAATCTCATTCCACACAACCTTTTCTTGTTTGGAATTAATTGAAAAATGTTTCCCAATTGTGTCGCTAAATTTTTTAAAATCCAGAAAATCTTCTGTGGCAAGTTCATTCACGATGTAGGGTGTACCTTCTTTCTTGGCCGCTCTGATAATTGGAGCCCATTGTGACGGTACATAAATAGGGCCACTTCTTAGTACTCTACGCTTCTGGCGCTCAATACTGGCGTGCATTGAGTCTCCTTCATTTTGGGTATGGCCTACCGTAAGGAATTTATGTGTAATGCTTTTGACATCAAATTTGTTAACTGCGCAGAGATACATAGAAACAATCATTTTGTTCTTATTTTGCCCTACGCAGTTGTCGGAATAGAAGATGACATCTTTTCCTTTGCACTCCGTTTTTAAATAATGTAATATACAAGTTGCTATTTCATTAGCACCTCTATTAGCAATCGCCTCATGCCAAAAGTAACAAAACCCTCTTTTCGATGGTATTTCAAAAACTGTGAAGTTCAAACAATTTAAACGGCATTTGTAATAAAATGTGGAAACATCTCCACAAGGCGTCGGTAAAACCGCTTGTAAGTCAAAACAGGCTATTTTAAAGGAAGAATCTTGTTTTCCTTTCTCGACGTCTCGAGCCTTTTCTTCTCTACTCTTGATTTTGTTGTTAATGTGCCGTTCGTATCCTTTCTGAAGCGACAATCTTTCGTCTGTATCAGAATTTTTAAAGGTTTCGCAAATTGCACATTGGTCCTTTTTAGGTTGGAAAAATGATATGTTAAATTGGGTTTTAAAAATGTGTTCATAGGTACATTTTTTGGCAACTGGCAACCCTTCAGCCTGTTGCTCGGATTTATAGTATCGATACATTTGCGCTATCGTTAAAGATCCGTCTATGTACTCACGTGTCGTCTGTGCTCTGAGATAATGAGATTCTATTCGTTCAAAAGAGTTGATGTGAGCAACAATTTTTTCTTTAATCGAAGTATTGATTGTTTCCCTCTTATTGAAGTTTCCTCTTCGATCTCTTTCTATCAGAGCATTACCATTCGATTTTTTCCATGTTGTCCTTATAAACTTATCACCAATGTCCAGGGTGTTCATGAAAAATGTTTTACACACTTGTATTTTAATTCCTCGCAGCGTCAAGTAATAACACAAATTTTCACTGCGATTACTTCCCTCAATGGCTCGACGGTATTTTACTTTTAGAGTTTCCATGTGACTACTTACAAATTGTCTTTGAAGAGCATTATCTCCTTGTTTCCAAAAACAAGTGTGAATAGTTAGTCTATCAGCATCGGTAAATTTAGTAGTACACGCTGACCTGCATTTTGTTGTACAAGGAGGTTTTAAACGTTTTCCAGGAATCTCCCTATTACCTTCAGACACATAGGGCAAACCTGAATTTACCCTCATTTTTTTCACGTTCCTTTTCCAAGTTTCGGGCCTAGCGATTATTTTACGTGGTTTTTTCTTTTCATCTTGAGCTTCAGCGATAATCCGTTTTTCTACATCATTATTAGGGTTCACTTCGATTTCAGAGCTTGTGTTTTCTGGTGAACTAGAATCATCACCTGAAGGTGTGTAATCTTTATCATTAATGGAATCATCTGAGTCAAAAATGGCTGCATCATTATTAATCTAGAACGCAAATGAGTGTAATATGGGAAGATTCTGATATTAACTGGTCACCTCCTCCGCTTGCTGGTCGTCCAAGGGAGTCACAACATGTCCATTACTAATCTCTGACACTGCAGTATTCCCTGAGCATCCTGGTAAATCTAGCGTTGTTGAGTTCTAATATAAAAATAAGTACATAATTGTTATTTAAAGTTAAATCAACTTACGTTATGTGCCTCTAATCCAAAAATGGGATCATTGTATTTCGAAAAATCTACCTCTAAGTCCAATAAAAAGGGTTGATTCGTAGAATACTAAAATAATAAAAATTCAAATAAATGACAATATTATTTGTCGTGAATCATGACAGATTCATTTAGACTTACTTCTTGTAATATTACGTTAGGTACCAACTGGCAATTTTGAAGTTCAGCATACGTTTTCTTTGGTTTAGAGGTGTTCTAAAATACAAATACATCTAGAGATTATAAAACCAAGCGTTTGTTTACTCGAACCTCACTCTCTTTCGGATCCTCGTTTTCAATGTTATCTTTATCTAAAGCCAACTTTACTAACTTTTTTGCACGAGACATAATAA